TGTTTTGGATTGGTTTAGAATATTGTGTAATTTATAAGCACACATTGATTGTATAAGACTTCGCTTTATTTGAACAAACCAAAAGTCATACAGTGTTTGTTCAGCAACCTCGTTCAAGTTTAGAAAAGTATTTCACGCTTGTTTTGAGCTTTATCTTTGCACAAGATAAATATAGCACTCTGGGCTTTGGCACTACCAGCGGCGTTTAGACAGAAGCGATTGTTGTGTTGAATCAATGTGTTTTTTTATGCAGCCTCTTTTTTTGTTGACATAGCCAGAGTGGGCCATGTGCTAATCCAGCAACAGGAAGTTATGAGTGCCACCATCCTCTCCCTCTGACACATAAAAATACACACGGTGCTTTCTCACTTTCACTCAGCCTGTGTTTCTCACTCAGAGACACGTGTGCCAATGCTTTAAACAGTTTGTGTGCATAGATCTTAAGACCTTTCTCATGTTTCTGTGGTCCGACTTCAGTGAGTAAGACTGGAGCCGGTCTTGGGTCAGTGTCTCTCTCTGGAGCACTGCCACTGCTGAAGGACATGTGAGTGTCACCACAACATTACCTTTACTGAGACCATGCTGGATTCACACACACATTCACACACTGACTCAAACACTGTCTCACTCATTTACTCACACTACAGTCGCCTGCCAACATTTCCATCAGCAGAATTAAGGGTATGACCAAATATGTAGGCGGTATGAGTGATTTTATATTGTGATATACAGTATATGCTGTATAGTTAAAAAGGTATGGGTCAGAAAGAATTTTTAAAATTAAATTACTATTTTTATTCAGCAAGGATGCATTAAAGGGGTGGTTGACTGTTTTTTTTCTAGGCTTAATCGTGTTTACGGGGTGCAGTCTTACATGTGTTAATGCTTCGTTTAAAAAAATTCATTATTTTTCACATAATTTACCTTTATTTTACATCGCTCTGTCCCTTCTCCTTTGAACGCTCCGATGAGTTCCTGTTTTTATGAAGCCCCTCCCTCAGAAATATGCGATGGGCTCAGATTGGTTAGCTGGCCCAGTGTGCTGTGATTGGCTAAACTGCCAGTGCGCGTCTAAAAGTCACGCCCGTCAGCTCAGCGGCATGTGCTCCGGTTGTATTGTAAACCATGACGTCTTCAGTATTGCTTATCAATTTTAGCCCGAATGAGACACATAGGATATTAGTGAAGAGGATCGCACAGAACCTGTGCAAGCACATGGTTCTTAAAGGGTTAGTTCACCCAAAAATGAAAATTAGGTTGCGTTTTACTCACTCCTGATGCATCCTAGGTTTATATGACTTTCTTCTTTCAGACGAATCCAGTCAGAGTTATATTAAAAATTGTCTTTGATCTTTCAAGCTCTATCGTTGTACTCCGCGGGTGTTGCAGTGCTTCGGTTCAAAAGATGTGAAATAAAAAGCACCTTTCCATAAAAAAAAAGTGTCTCACACGGGTCCGGGGGGGTGAACAAAGGCCTTCTGTAGCGAATCGATGCATTTTTGTAAGAAAAATGTCCATATTCAAAACGAAAGAATCATTTTAATCTAGCTTGCGCCAACAGTTGTACACAGAAGCAGTTCCGGGAGCATGATGTATGGGGTTAGCGTTGTGCATGCGCCGGTGAGTCTCGTGAAAACCAACGTTTGTTTACAGGATCAAAAGAAGCAAAGTTTCCTTACTTTAGCAAAGGAAAACCAGTCTCCTCTTGGCTTATATCGAAATCCTCCGACATTCTTCTTTACAAATCCTCGTTTTGTACTTCTAATAAGCGACTGTTGTTTTGTTTCGATCTCTCCGTGTGCGTCACTTCTGAGCAGCGCATGCGCAAAGCTGACCTCATACGTAATTCCGGCGGAACTGCTTCTGTTACAACAGTGAGCGCAAGCTAGATTCAAGTGATTATTACGTTTTGAATATGGATATTTTTCTTACAAAAACACATCGATTCGCTACAGGAGGCCTTTGTTCACCCCCCGGAGCCGCGTGAGACACTTTTTTTTTTTTTTGTGGAAGGGTGCTTTTTATTTCAAGTCTTTTGGACAGAAGCAATGCAACACCCGCTGAGTACAACGATAGAGCTTGAAAGATCAAAGACAAATTTTAATACAATTCCGACTGGATTCATCTGAAAGAAGAAAGTCATTTACACCTAGGATGCATCGGGAGTGAGTAAAACGCAGCCTAATTTTTATTTTTGGGTGAACTAACCCTTTAATGGTATGTTTTTTGTTTGTTTTTCTCATACTTTTAGATACGTTGTTATTTGTAAATGCTACTGCTTCTGTTAGCTTTTAATGTATGGTTTTATCCTGATTAAAGCTTTAATACAGCACGGCAACCGCATGCTTAAGCGTCCATGTTTAACGCTGCTCATAGCTATGTGAAAAATATCTGTCTGACATAGTGTATAATGGAACCGTTGATTGGAGCTGATGATCAGGTGAGAGAGAGAGAGAGAGAGATGCAGAGCAGGGGACACGAGGAACAGGATTAAGAACCGCTGCTTTAGAACATTGATTTTGAAACTTGTGAATCCATTAGAATCATTAGAAGACAGAATCGCGATTCATATATGAATAGATTTTTCAGTGCACCCCTAGTTTTGATGGCATGGCAACAACTCTTCTCTAAAGCAGCGCAACATGGCCTCGTCCCCTTTGTTGCATTTTCCCGGGGGCGGGGTTTATGTACATTTCTGTGTTTGTGATGTCACAAACCTGGGAAGTAACTCGTTGTAGTCCCTACGAGCTGTTTTTGTAGGCATTAAACTGAAAGAAATTTAAAAGAATTAAAAATCTCTGTTTGCACTGAACTTTCAGCGTCGTATCTTTGCAGATATTGTTTATGCTCAAACAGCAACATTACACACTAACTAATGTTAAAAAAGTAAAATCGCAATCAACCACCCCTTTAAATTGATCAAAATTGACAGTAACCAAATGTTGTTCTTTTGTACTTTTTCATCAAGGAATCCTGAAAAACAATGTTTTTAACATTGATAATAATAAGAAATGTTACTTGAGCACCAAATCAGCATATTTCAATGATTTCAGAAGGATCATGTGACACTAAAGACTGCAGTAATGATGCTGAAAATCTAGCTTTGCCATCACATGAATAAAATACATTTTAAACTATAATAAAATAGAAAATTTCAAAATTTTATTTAATATTATATATTTTATTGTTATTTTTGATCAAATAAATGCGGCATAACATTTTTAAAATGTAACGACCACAAATGATTAAATTGTAGTATATGTAAATTTTTTGTTTTATTTATTTATCTATTTTTTGTTTTGCACAACTAATATATCATGATATTAACAGTACAGTAGTATATTTTTTTCTTTCCATTGCACAACATATACCATCATACTGCCTGAGCCGAAGATTGTGAGATAAGCATCTTGAATTCTGAATAAACATTAAATGTGGTGCTTTTCCAGAACTGTTGACATAATGTCAACATTGTACCATTCAACCCTCCATTGTCCACAGCCCCCTCGCACCCTTATCCTCCAACTGGATTTTTTCCCCTCCTCAGGGAATGTTTCATTTTTCTCCATCTATGACTCATAGATGGCCCTCATTTTGTTGGCAGGACGGCTCGTAGCCGGAGGAGCGGTGAGGCAGGGACAGGGCCCTTTATCTCTCACCGAGTGTCTGATTACAGCCATCTTCAGGGAGATGTGTCAGACACAGAGCGAGCGCTGGACCACAGCATGACGTAGAAACACCTCCCCCTCGATTTATCACTCTCTCCTTCTGTATGTGGGTGTCAACTTAAGACTGCATGGGAATGATTCAAAGAAGTCCCTCAGAATGACAAATTATAACAGCACAAAGCAAAATGAAAAGTGTGAAGTCTCCACAGTTTTACATGTGTACTATTTTATTACTTTCCCTGAAGCTCATATGTGGTCAATATTTCTTAGATTTCATGACCATTTTCATCTATATCTTTGACCATAAGAATTAAACGGGCTGTTTTTGCTACTGCACCTTTAAGACTTAAATATTTATTGAGAGAACCTTGCCAAAGTACTGAGAAAGTTTCCTGTTAGCTGGGAAATGGCCCCTTTAAGTGAATTTAGAAAAGATAGATGGATGATGCCAAACGTCAAACCCCAGATGACTCAATCGTGAGGAATGTAAATATGAAGCGTACGAGATTCATTCATCATTCACTGTCCATGCTGAAATGTACGCTGCTGAGCAGGAGAAATCTGTCGCTGATTATGTGCAATTCTAAGCTAAAATTTGAAATATTGGGAAGGACATTTGCATACTTCTTCTAAAAGGGTTCTTTTCTTATTGTTGTTGACTGGTTGGCAGTAGCACATGTAGGCTCCTGTTTGCTCCATGCGGCCTGTTTTAGTCTTTTATTCTCAGGCACTTGTGTTGTCCATGCTCCCTGCTGTTGTACTCCAATTAAACGTTTCCTTTAGCAGGCCACCTGCCATTACCCATCAGCAGGAGGTGAGGGATTTCAGCTCTTGAGAGCGGAAATTGTAAAGAGCTCCGAGTAAATGATTGATGAAGTCAAGCCTGACACAGACAGAAGACCGACCGTAGCTGTGATTGTATCTGAAAGTGTGAGAGCAAGTGACATTAAACATATGTTGATGAAGAGGATACTCACTTTAATTCTTGTACTCTTTGTTATCCTCTTCTTTCTCCATTGTACAGGTTTGGGGTCAGCAGTTTTTTTTTTCTGAAGAAATTATTCAGCAAGGACACATTAGATTGAGCAAATTGTGGTAATTTGCACTGAAAATTCTGCTTTGCCATCACAGGAATAAACTAGATTTTGAAATATATTAAAATAGAAAACAGTTAGGCCTATTTTAAATTGTATTTATATTTCACAATATTACCATATTTTTGATCAAATAAATGCAGCTTTGGTGAGCATATGAGACTTCTTATTTTCTTTTGTGTTGAAATATGTACCATATATTATTTTGCTAAACATTGCTTTGTTTGTCTCTTTCCAGATTACCACACTGATCAATCACAAAGACAAGCTCAAGAAGACGGAGAAGACCTTACGGGCCATCCAGAGAGTGGGGCAGGCGGTCAGTGTTGCAGTTGGCCGCTTCGTGGCCGTGGGTGAAGCAATTTCAGCAGAGAATGAAGACTTGAAGGACGAGATGGGACTGGCTTGCTTTGAGGCCCGGAGAGCAGGTTAGTCTGACACTACTCAACTGGAAGAGCAATGACACTTAAGCAGTTTTAATGGGTTGAGTTACCAGGCAACGAGGAACAGGAAATGGACAGCTGGGTTAAACATTGTGGAACTTGTCAACAAGCTCAGGACTGCCTGTCAGGGTTGTACGCCACGCAAAATTGATTTGAAATTCCTTTCAAATTTAATTTAATTGATGTAGCATACAGGAATTGCATTTCAAATTGAATTTAAGGAAGTATAAATAAAATGGAATGAAATTCAGAGACATGTAACTGTTGTAAATGCATTTTCTAATGATTTTTTTCTTTATAACAGTAAACATGATATCATACATGCAACATATGAGGTACTTCAAGAAACATTAGATCATAATAATATTCAATCATTGAAATGCCGCCTACAAAAATGAATATTTCATTTATATACACTAGTACTGTTCAAATGTTTTGACAATTTTCAGGAGCCATTACTTAAATCTTAAGTGTCACATGATCCTTCAGAAATGTTGCTGTTTGATATTTTTGTGGAAACTGTGATAGTTTTTTTTTCAGGATTAACATCAACATTATAAATGTCTTTGCTGACACTTTTGATCAATTTAATGCATCCTTGCTGAATAAAGGTATTAACAGATTTACTGACCTCAAACTTTTGTACGGTAGAATTTAAAATCCTCAAAATGGAGACGAACGACATGAAAGAAGCCTGTGAGCAAGCTTAAACCTTAATGCAATTTTTATGTTTCATATAAGTCCAGTCAATCCAAATCAGTTTGTCATTATCCTACCATTTCACATCCATACTGTATGGATGCAGCTGTTTTGAGATGCATGGATCCAAGAGCAGCTTTTTTTTGCCTGAATCTGTTGAGGTTCGTGAAAGGGAGAGTGCTGCAGTTTCTCTTCTATTAAACTCTTGATGTCCCATCTGTCTCTGAAGAGTTTGCCTAAAAATACCCCACAAATGTGCGTTTCCATATCTCTCGTTTGTGATGAAGTGTTGCTGTGCTTGCTCTTTGAATAACCAACACGCGCACAAAGAGATTTGATCGGTTCTGACGGTTTAAAGAGGTTTACAAAGGCAGGCAGCTGCAGTTATGAAATAAATACATTTGATATGAGTTGACATCTATGAGGCTTTGTATAAAATCTAGATGATTGAGAATTACTTATCTCTGCATTAACTTATTTAATAGACTAGTACCCTGGGAATTAATGCACTATATAAAAAGAAATGTTTTTAAGTTGTTAATAAAACATTATTGGAATGTTTTTTACGAGAAAATATTATTTCAGTCTTTCTACTTCAAAATTTCATTTTTAATTTAACGTGTTACTTGCCATTTGTGAAATTTCGGAGTGAAAACTGTTTCAAAGTATTTTTTTTAAATACTTTTTTACTCATTTTACTCATACTCATTTTTTCATTGTGTAGAGATATCTTAATTGTCATACCTAAAAATTTATTTTATTATTATTATTTTTTATACATTTCTTTAAAATAAATGCCACTTAGTCTGATATTTTATCATGTAATGTCATGAATTAATACACTTTAAAGTGTGGCTTAGAGTCCAAATAATGTTTTGCACGACTGTGTATTTAGTAGCAAAACAAGTGCTGTGTCAGTCAAATGCGACTATCTTAAAGACTCAAAGTGTGTTGTGGTTTACATTTGTCCCTCCGGTCTGAAATAATAGGAGCTCTGTTCTGCATCTATAAATACAGATAGTTGGTGGTCTCTGCCACCTCCCTTCCCATACCTCCCAGGGCAACAACACCGGAATTAGACTGGCTTCAAGTTAGTTATCAGACTCCCCACAGTGTTTGAACGCTCACCCACGCATTTAATCCTCCTGATTATTACACGGGCCGCCCATGTGTGACGGGCAAAAGTTTAGACCAAAACACATTTAGGCAGGTGGGGAAAAAGTAATCTAGACTCGTCTCAGGAGAATAAGTCAGATGTTATTGAGAGATGAAATCTTTTTATTTATAGAATAACTAAATCAGCTTAGCTTAGGTACGAGAGCACATCGTCTGAAGGAGATGAAAGGGAGCTTTCATTGAAAAGGGGAAGCCCTGATTTGAGAAATTACCTGTGACTGTGTGTGTAACCGCAGATGTGACGCAGTGGCCTGCACGTCTTTAAATCCAGGAGTGTTTTGAATGATGTAGAGATTACATTGCTGTGATTGGCTTTCATCTTCTCAGCGGCAGGAAGGATGGAGGAGGATGTGTTTTGAGTACAAGTCTGTGTGGTTTTAAAGTGCACTGCATACGATTCATTGTGGTTGTTTCTTCAACTATGGGCCCTTTTGGCTCTGTGTTTTTTACAAATAAAATGAAATATCATTACATATAAATCTTTTGTTTATTAGCTATTTCCAGCAGTTGTTTCTGTCATTTGTTCATCTATTTAATTCTTTTTTGGAATAAAACAGCCGACTCCTTTGTCTTGTTATCACAACTAGCATTATGTATTCTAATTTTATACAATTAAATAATATTTTCTTACTTTTGCACAATTGGAAAAAAATTACAGCTTGATTAGAATTTAGAAAACAATTACAGCTTCATTAGAATTGACACACAATAAAAAAATATTATTTCCATCTGCCAAATGATATTTACCTTGATTTTTCTCAGGCTTGCTTTGGTAATGTTAGCAACAATCAAACTTCAGTAGTTTTTATTAGTTTAGCTAAATGAATTAACTAATTTGTGGAAAAATTACTATAATTAATTCTCACAAAATAAATATCAAAATTCTTCATGTGTATTTCACCCTTTTAAATGATTATAGTTTTAAAAATATATTTTTCTGATGGATTTTTAATACTGAACATCTGGGCCGGAAACAAGGGCAAAACAAAATCTATCCATAGAAGACATTTGAAAAGCAAAAATAAATGATCAAGACATTTTAATGTGTTCTAAATATAACAAAAATGAAAAAAAAAAAATCTGTTAGTTTGAATAAAAATCCATTCCTGGGATATAAAAGTATTTGTTGTTGAAACAAAGTTGAACCTTTTCATAACCTGAAGTTTGGGAACTCTAGTTGCAGTTTTGCTGAGAATGCATTATTTTCTCTTTGTCTTGCTTCTCAGGGACCTCTCGGCCTTATATAGACAGATAGACAGCTGCTTTTGAGCAACGATTTGATACTATAGTACTTTAAATTAATGAAGGGCATTCAAAAGCAGCAGATGCACGCTGAGACGATGTCTTTAAAGGGCATCGTTGCAGAGATCTCAATGTTTCACTCTCTATGCAAGCCCAATGCCTGAGGTCGTGTCTCTTTAAAGCAGGAAACTCTCTGAAAAGAGTTGGCTGAAAATGCCAGCCACTAAGGACTGCACCACGTCTCTGGTGCCGCTCAAGGGATTCGACTATAAGCTTCCACAAAGACGCCACTTCAAAGCTCAGGAAAGACACAGAGGCAGCAAACAATCCTCTCCAGAAACAAGAATGTTTCAGTATGGCCGCTGCTAAACGAGGCAAAAACCAACAAAGCAGGAAATGTGGGCATTGTGCCCAGTCAGATGACTATGGATAGGTGTGTAATTTGGCCCACAATGCAGCGCTCTGCACAAGGCACCTTGATTATTAAAACCACTTTGAAATTTAAGAAAGAAAAGCTGTCGGATGCCATCAGGACGGTGTCTTCAGATGGACAAATGTGTCATTGAACATGAAACAAAGCTGTTTCCCTTCAGAAATGACTCTCATTTCTATGTCTAAAATGTCTGTCTGTATTTCTCAACCTCTTTCTCCTTGCACTATTGAATGTGTCAGTCTTTCCGTCTCTCAGAATAACACTGCTTTATTGAGGCACGAGGCAGGGAACTGCACTCATCAAGCGTCCTTTCAGCACGTTCCAACTGTTTTAAGTGGGAGAACTTGCACAATTGGTGGCTGACTAAATACTTTTTTCCCCCACTGTATATATATATATGATGTATGTATATGTATAAACTATTTTTGCATATTTTATCATTTTAAAATAATAAAAAAGAATTATTTAAGAATTAAAAATCAAATAAGGGGCATTTTATGGTGTTTTTGAGCTAGGTATGACAAGAGCAACATGAGCTAGGTATGACAGGTTCTCATTTCAGAAAATAAAGAAATAAGACAAAAATTGTTGGACATTTTTTTATGTATTGATCATATAGCCATGAGAAAGTACAATCACAATAAATCTGATGTAATATCTCAATTGTTTTCTGTACACACTGAGATTAAATGGAGCAAAATTCTTCTTTATTAAGCCTCTTAGTAATGGAAAGACTTTTGGAAGCAATCTCAACAGCTTCACACTCTATGCTCAGATTTGCCACAGTGCCTCTATGCTCTTACTGTATAACAGCAGTTGTCTCAGTTGAGTCTATTTTTATTTCTTAGGACAGACATGTGAGATGAAGCTCATTTCTAAATAAAACACATTATGAAAGCAACCTTTATGCAGTACATTTTTTTCTCTCAGGGCTGTAGCTGAGAAAAACGTGGGTTTTATATATGTGTGCAGGTGCTGGTTACCCTGGAGCAGCTGGAGAGAGTCAGCACTTTTCAGGAATTTGTCCAAATCTTCAGCCAATTTGGGAACGAGATGGTAGAGTTTGCCCATCTCACAGGAGACAGACAGAATGTAAGTGACCTCACACACACATCCCCCTGCTCACCCTCCATCGTTCCCTCACTTCACTTTACAGATAATCAAACACTGATAAGGACACTTCCTATGGCAGGTGTGTATAGCCGGTGTAGATTTATACATCGGATGAGGGGAGAAGGGGAAGATAATGGAGGGATTTTAGTTATAAGAACTGAACAGTGCTGCACACTGCATTTTCAATCAGCAGCTCTCAAACCCCACTGATAAAAACCTTTGGGGTAAGATACACTCGACCGTAGTGCAGAGCAGATGCTAGTGGTGCTTATTAACAGGAATTCACAATGTTAAGGCTCATATCAGCATATGTTTGCAATGCAAAAACATATGCAAGATCAGGGAATTGTACTGTGTTTATACATTTATGCTAGAATTTTTTTCATTATCAATGCTCTGTTGGAAAAAACCCCCATCATACCTGCATATGGTCAAGCTGGTTTTGCTGCTGGGTGGAGATTAGATATGGGTTTGTCAAAAGCTGATGCTGATATAGAGCAAGAGATTTTAAACTGGGGTCCGCATGGGGCTGCTAATGTATCTGCTGAAAATTTGCCTGAAAAAGAAAGGTTTTACTGTTTTAGGGGGCATTTCACAAAGAATCATCGTGGGTTAAAACTGTGTCAAATGCAAGATGCTGCAAAAGATGCAAGCGGGCAATGGTCAAAAACTGCATGTTTGCGAAGAAAAACAATGGAATGGAAAAATGCATTCTTTGTTAAGGGCCACTTATTCTGTTTTTAAGATTATTCTTATTCTGAAGGCTGGAAATCTTCATTAATCGCTTTATTATTCATTTTAAAGAACTTCATTTTAATTTAATTGTATGGACAGTCATAGATTTTAAGTACTAAATTAAAACAAATCAAATCCTATTGTTTTATGAATTTTTTTTTTTTTTTTGTACAGATATTTTTAGAAATGTTTAGAAGTGTTAATTTCTTCTTCAAGGCAATTTAGTTTATGCTTGTATACTATAAATTTATACAAATAAATTTTAATTGAATTTAAAATATTTATCTTCAGATTTATATGCCACAATATGCTAACACTCTGTAGAAAGTAGATGCAGACAATTTAATACAACAAATATTTTCCGGATAATATTTGAGTAAATGGTATACTTCATACTAGTATACTTTATACAAAAAAAAAAAAAACCTTTGGCTTTCTCTTTATTTATTCCTTCCCTTTCTAGCTTGTACTTATTTGAACAATGCCTGAAACTTGGTATTACGAGCACCTCCTGTGTCTGTTTGCTGCTTTAAGAAGAATCGCTTTATGTATTCCCCAATTGTAAGTCGCTTTGGATAAAAGCGTCTGCAAAATGACTAAATGTAAATGTTATACTTTAGTGAAATGACAATATAAATAATAATTACAATAATAATTAAACAATATAAAAGCCAATTATTTTATTTTGCTAACAACGTATTGTCTTTATATTACACTTACTATTTTTCTATATTTTACTATATTTTAAGAAGTCAATAATCATGCAGATTTATGTTACAAACTTATAGAATTGTACAGTAAGAAAGTTATTTCCTTTAACCAGGAAATTAACGTTCTTAGAATTGACAAGACGGTTGACCCTGAGTGGTCAGCTAAATATCTACAGTGGATCTAAAATATGAATAGTTAATTATAACTAGTTATGGTTAATTATTCATATTTCCCCATGAGCTGATCCGCTACATTAGTCTCTTGCAAGGTTATCCCAATTTTTGGAGGGTTCTTGGTATCAAAAATGTTGAAAATCTCTGATCTATATAGTAGAGTGGGTTATGGCCAGTGTAGTACTTATTTACATTGGGATCCAAAAGTGTGCTAACACTATTGTCGCTCTCATCGTGGCTCATTATTGGCCTTCACGATTGCTCGGTCACCACATGAAACCATATTAAACCAGCCCCATCAGAAACTGGTTTCAGCTGATTTTCTTGCAGTGCATGGCCGGTTCTCCTCCCAAGGCCTCCTCTGGAGTCCCATCATGATTAGGAACGTAGTAATATGAATATGAATAACACCGAGAACTGATAGGAAAGGCTGTCTCATTTCAAAAAGGAAGCTGCTGTATGTGTTTGATAATGTTTCACAAACACATCACGTTCCTATCTCTGCAGAGCTTTCCTGCCAATCTGCGGCCTCCATCTTTTCAGTTTTATTCAGAAGAACATAACAGATAATCACATCTCCTTTTGTGAGCCATGGCTCCCAGCCGGGGTGAGAGAGATCAGGTTCTTCTCATTCTCTCCGTCATGCACACACACAGTCTGTCAGTCAAAAATCCCTAATGCCTCACGAGTGAGCGCAGCTCTATTGAGTTATATTCCAGCTCGCTCCGTGTCGGTGGAAGGCATTATGTCAGTGCTATCTCTACCAAGGACCAAATTGACCCTTCATTCTAAGCAAGACCTTGAAAAATGAACACTTCGAATGAATGAATTCAGTTCTGTAGATCTCCTGACAGCCTGCGTCAGATGGTTAAGATTCAAGTCAAGTGCACTTGATTTGTTAGAAACATTAGTTTTAATATGATTCAGTTAGATGTGTTTCATAAGCACTTTGTGGAACTCAATTGGTAACACCGTGTAATTCCAGCCTTGTCTGTTGCAAGCGAATTATGAGGTTAAACCTAAGCCGAGATTTCAGAACACTTGAAAGAACTCGAGGCATTGCATGTTTTCTCATATTTGTCTTGTGGATTCTTGTTTTCCTCAGGATCTGAAGGATGAAAAGAAAAGAGCTCGGATGGCCGCTGCACGTGCTGTGCTGGAGAAATGCACCATGATGCTCCTCACAGCCTCTAAGGTAGGATTGTGGAAGAGAGTACCATCTGCTGTCTAAAACATGTTGATATCAATGCATGTATTTGTGCGGAAAAACCTGAGTGTGAATGGTATCATGCAGAAATAATGAGGCGTCAACAAAGTTTCATTTTAAGATACAAATTTAGGAATAAGTTAAACAAATGAGCAAATCATTCGTGGTGGCCATATATTTTGACATATATTATCATTTTTAATATGATTATGATCACATTATATATAACAATATTTGATGATCTATATAATATTTTACATATCTATGTTTATAATACTTTACTACTGTTCAGAAGTTTGGGGTCAGTAAGATTTTGTTTTGCAAAGATGGATTAAATAGATCAAAAGTGACAGTAAAGACATTTAAGATGCTACAAAATATTTGTGTTTCAAATAAATTAAAGAGTCTTGAAAAAAGTATCACAGTATCACAAAAGTATTAGGCAGCACAAATCAGCATATTAGAATGATTTCTGAAGGATCATGTGACACTGAAGACTGGAGTAATTATGCTGAAAATTCAACTTTGCCATCACAGGAATTATATTACAGTTTTAAAATATATCAAAATAGAAAACTTATTTTATATTGTAATAATATTTCACAATATTACTGTTTTTATTGAATGTTTGATCAAATAAGATAATAAAATATTTATATATAAAAGTTATGTATATATGAAATTATATATTGTATATATTATATTCTTATTATATATATGAAATTATATCATAATTATATATTGAAATTTTGCACGAGAACTTTTCCTGCATGCATAAGTAAGAAAACTTGTACACAGTTATTATTGAATGAGAGTCATTATGTATGTTCACCTGAATTGTACTCAAATAATATTTTATAAACCGATTTATCTGGGAATCCAAGATCTGTCCAATATTAGGTCTTGCTTATGAAAAAGTGCAATGTTATTGTTGTACTGCTTTGTACATGTGCCATGGTTTTTACTACGGTAATATCATAGTTTTAGTACCATGTTAGCGAATATGCTTGGAGTATGGCATGCTATATAGTTTTCACAGCACCATGGTTGTCTGTTGGCTATTAAAGTACCATGATATTACCATCTGATACCACGAATGATACTTTTTCATAAGGTCTTTTCCATAATTGAGCTAGTTCATTCCTCTAAAAAGGGTGTTTTCCTTTCCTTACTCTAAAAAATGTAATAACATCCTGTTTAGATGTCAAATTTTGAAGCCACGCTTTTGTTGTTCCTCTGCATTTTGAAGATAATTTTTGTTCCTCTTTGCCTCTCAGACTTGTCTGAGACATCCAGACTGCGAGTCGGCACGGATCAACAAAGAAGCAGTCTTCCAGCGTATGCGTCTGGCCCTGGAGCAAGTCATTGAGATTGTGACTGACACGAGGAACGGTGGGGAGGCCAAAGCACTTCCTGTCAGCATCTACGCTGGGATTAGAGACTTTAAGGTGCAGGTGTAGGCCAAGGGCTCTTAGATGGATGTCTCAATGGATAAAATTTCTCTTTCAAAGACTTCTTTTTAAAAAAAGTATTGCTCAACCAGTCAAAAAGAATATATGCTACAGTTCAAAGGTTTGGGGTCTCTTTTTTTTTTTTTTTTTAAGAAAGAAAGAAATTGATACTTTTTCAGTATTAAATTGATCAGTTGTAAGAGTAAATACATGCATAATTTTACAAAAGATTTCGATTTCAAATAAATTCTGTTCTTTTTATCTTTCTGTTCATCAAAGAATCCTAAAAAAATATTTCAATGTTTCCACAAAAATATTAATCAGGCAAAACTGTTCAAAAGATTTTTTGGTTTACATACTATATGTGTGTGTACTGTGTATATTTATGATGTAAATATATAAATACACACACATACATGTATATATTAAGGAAAAATATGTTAGATTTATATATAAAATATTTATATTTATACATAATATAATATAAATTATATACAAATATAAATATATATACATACAAATATTGTAAAAAATATATACATATGTGTTCGTATTTATATATACATAATAAATATACACAGTACACACACATATAGTATGTAAACACAACCTTCTATTTTGAATCGATTAATCGCAATTAATCGCTTTGCAGCCCTAAAATATATTACAATAGAAAACAGTTACTTGAAATTGTATTAATACTTCACAATATTACTGTATATTTGATCAAATAAATGCAGCATTGGTAGGCTTGAGAGACTTCTCTTAAAAACATTACAAAATCTTACCAACCATGAACTTCTGAATACAAATTATTTTTGGTGCTACTGAGATTACACACTTCACCCACTAATTTGCCCTACAAAGTAGTGATAATTATTTTAATGTTATGGATGGGTTGAAAAACAAATAAATATCCAATAAAATAGACATTAGCCAATAAATGGTATATCATGAATCAGTTTCTCACCAGATGCTTGTATTTGTGTTTCAGGTTAAAGTGGAGGGTCTGAGAGACTCTCTGTACTGTGTGTCCTGTGAGGCTGTGGCGGCTCAGCTGGAAGCTCTGGTGGAGAAAACCGAAGATTTTACAGACTCTGCCTACACCAGCCATGAGCAGAGAGAGACAATCATACAGCTCTGCCAGATCACACGTCAGGAGACCAAACAGCTCATCAGCACATGGAGACACGTGGTAAGAGGGACACATACACACATTGGGGACTGCACCGACCAATCATTCACCGTATGACTTGAGTCTCACTTGATGGTAACAGCAGGAGGAAAACTCCAAACTGCATCCCAGATTGATTTTGTGTCCTTAACTTACTCTCTTATTCATATCTTAACACAAATGTTTCACTTGGCTTGCATGTCTGTCCTTCACGTCTTTGTTGTACAGTGTGTGAAGGATGTTCTGCATGTCTCTCCTCCGGTGGAGTAACTGCCCATGAACCTCACACCCTCACTGTGCCTCATACATTGGGAAAAATAAGCCTTACGGTGGAGATCTATAGGTTGCTTCCTGCCTTTGGCTGCTTCCTGCCTTTGGTTTCTTGAATAAGCTATTCAATTGCTGTCATTTTGCCATGATTTCTTTTATTGTGCAGCAACATACTTTTCAGACAACTTTTGTTGATACTCACATGATTTGTTCTGTGTGTGATACTGTTTTATAAGGACGTTGTGCATAGGTAGAGTTGACTCTAAACCTTCTGATGTCTTTAAACCATATAGGGATGAAAAGTCACACAGAAAGAAAATACATGAAAAAAATGATTAAAAAATGCATGCACTCTCTATTGGTTTAATAGGAGCATTAATTTGAAGGTTGATATAAACTGACATTGTATTCATTGCTATACACCGAATGGCTTGTGAAAGAAAAGCCCTGTTCAAGGAAAACGATTGAGTCACTGCAGTTTTTTTAATCCTTTTTTTCACTTTACATATATAGGAAAATGTCAACATCTTTTTATTCTTATGCGTTTGTCCGACGTGACTTCCGGTGCTTTAAATGTGTTTCCTGGGAATCAAAACCCTGACCTCAGCATTACTAGTACTGTGATCTCACAAGAACACATGGCGAATATGAATAGTAGCCTAAAATTTATGAAATGCAGGGGTCCTACAATCATGAAAAACCTAAATACTATGGAATTTAAAATGATTATTTTCCTGGCCTAGAAAAGTCATGGACACAAATGAAATCTTTAAAGTCAAGGAAAACTCCTGGAATTTCTGTTAATATAAGATTTGCTAGTTATTTGCTGATCTATTCTGTAGGCTAGAAATTGCACTTAGGTATGTAGTAAAAAGCCACAGTCTGATTTGCAACCACATTTTTGAGTTGAATGATACATAGTGGAATTATTCCTCAATATTTTTGTGGAAACAGTCATACATCTTGGAGTGTTTCATGAATAGAAAGTTATAGAATAGAAAACAGCATTTCTTTGAAATATAAATCTTCTATAAGATTTCACTTCGCTTTTGGTCAAATTAAAAACAATTGCTGACCCCAAATGTTTGAACAGTAGTGTATGATTACATTTAGCCATTTCTGCAGGTAATTACACACTCCAGTAGAACACCTTTGAATCTTTATCTACTTGTGTCAGTGTCACTGTTTCTTTATAAAAAAAATAATTTACAGATTGTTAGGTCCCAGATTTCTTTATATTCATTTGTTGTATTTCTATACATTTGATTGTTTTCCCATATGTAGTTTTTGAGGACGTAATGCCTGCCTCCAATTAAACAGTTTTCCAGTTTTCATTAGTTTCATGAAGCCAGATGTTTGATGTGTGGTCCTCGTTGCAGCTGATTCAGCCCAAGAATCGCCCACTTAGACAGGAAGAGACCAACATCTAAAGTGACAATTGGTTTTGTTTTCCATGTTATTTAGGGAAGGATTTAATTGAAAGGGGTTAACCAAAATAATAGCTTAGTGTGGAAATTTGAAACAGTCTTTTAAAATGACGTTATGATCATAATTCCTGTTCTCCAAAAAGTAATAAATACAGAACACAAAGTGAAATATACACTTCTGCTTGTAGAATACTAGCTTGCTACTTTTCAGACAAATCCAAACTTCAAATCTAGTGATTTGTTCATCCTCAAGAGCACTCAATGTATCAACCTGTCACCTTTGTAACATGACTTTGATCCAAATGAAAAGAGCCTGTGTACCATCACTCATGGACTCCATAAAACCAGCCGATAGTTGAATGGAACTGTCCATTTAAACAAGCTCTTGACATTTTTAAGTGCGACTGTCAATGGGCGTGAATTTTCCTCCCTCAAGCACTGCATTTCTTCTTTCTACGAGTCCTTGAATGTTTACGACTATGTATATGTCTCTGCTGTCATCAGCCAAAACTTATTTAGAGACAGCGTTGTTTTTACATGGTAATATCTGGGTTGTTCCCCACTTTACCTGTCCACCATTTCAGTGACAGAAACATTTGGAATGTGTTCACTGAAGTGCAATGACTGTTTAAGTCCCAGTGTGCTGTCTCAGAGTAAAGCACGGAAGATGAGAGCGCTTCAAACATTCACACGGCTTCTGTGGCGTGTTTGTGTTGACGCCCCATTGTAATCCCGTCTGAAAGCAATCCCACCCACCTGTCTGCCTGTCCTCTGAAGAGAAAACTGCGGATAAAGACTGTCATGGCTAACAAAGTCCATCTTTCAGGTTGTTTGGGCCACTGACACTTGTGTTGAAACTTGACGGCTCTTCAGCATGGACGGTGCACGTTCAACTGGTTGAAAATCATCCTGTTTGCAGTGTGCTAAATTCCCTTTCTATCTTTGTTTCTGTTTCTTTTACCCTCCAGCAGCAATCGCTTAAAGCCAAAGAGGCCACGGACGAGGTGGAGCTCTCTATTTTGAAGACTTGTCAGAGTGTCAGTGATCTCAGGCGAGAGGTGAGATTCTTGTGACAAGCTATGCACAGGGATTGAATCCCATGAGCCAAAGCATCTAAAACAAAATCAAAATCTTTCTTCAGAAGCGTCCATCCCAGTGTTCCCTGTATCACTTATGCTGAGTGCCATAACATATTTACTTAATTTGTGAATTTGCATTTGAATGTCATGAGATAAGAGTAAAACAAAGACAGCATATCTTTCTCTTGCATTGTCTGAACATATAAAAACAAATCGGGCCACTACAATCTGATTCACGAACAAATTACTCTAAGTTAATTTCTTATAAGATTAATGTCTCGAAATAACTGCTTTGTGAAACTTAAATCGGTACAATTGCATCTTTATTGCAACATAACAATGTACTGTAACATAAATTATATACAAAATTATTTGTTGACAGGCATTACAGAACAAAAGAATACTAAACAGTATTCTAAAGCAATACTAAAAAAACATAGTCCAGATGCAAACAGTTAAAAAAACAAACAAAGTGCCATTGTCATTTAAATGAATGGCCAAAACGCATAAAATGTTTTCTATTTTTAGTTTGAAAAAGGTGTCATTTAAACACCCCCCTCAGTACAATTGCTGATTGGTTGTTCATACACTTCATATAATTCATATTGCTCATAATAAATGAAAACACTGAAGTATGTTGCTAAAACAATATGGTCTTGTTTTGCATGTAATTAATACCAGTGCTTAGGGAATTTTTATTAAACACTGCTCAGTTCACATTATTGGACTGTTCCTTTTGTTCAGCTTCATAGGGTGGCGGTGGGAAGGGCCACTGAGCTGCTGAAGCTGCATTCAGATCATCTAGTGCTGCAGGCCCTGAAGGCTTCCGGTGGGGATGGAAACCTGGAGGCCGTGGCTGATTATGCTGGCACACTGACCGAACACAAAGAGCACCTGGTGGAGGTGAGCGGCTCTGTTTAACACTTTGTTCTGACAAAGATTTGATTAGAAAGCAGTTTTCTGTAGTAGTGTAACAGCAGGTCCACTTTACACCATTGTTGAATTTGAGGAATTTATTCAAATTCAAAAGCAATTAGGATTTGAAATAAACTATTATTATTATTATTATGTGTATTATTATTACATTTATTATATTTGCTTATATTTATTATAATTTGTGCATTCAATACTTATTGTCAGATTGGTGCATTTAACAATTGCCATGTTGTATAATCTACTAAAGTGTTTGACTTTCACTATAGGGTGAACTTCAGTGTAGTGCCATTTACTCTTTTTCAGACTTGTCGTTTGCTCTGCCACATTTCGGGGACCGAGCCGCTGGAGATCACCTGTATTCATGCTGAGGAAACTTTCCGTGTCATTGGACCTCAGGTAAACAGAGAGGTTGTCTGCTAGTAAAGTAGGAATCTGACGCAATATAGATTTTGTTAATAAAAGAACGGAAGAAGATTGTTATTCGCTTCAGTTACTGCTTATTTTTCAAAAATCACCAATGCTTATTTGACATATTTTGCACTGTTGTTGTTGACTTTGCAGCTCTGATTACAGAAAAGAACAGCAGAGGCAAACACACTTACACACATAGGCATAAAATAGCAAGAAAGCGCAATTAAAATGCATTTTCAGCTGGATGAAAAAAAACAAATCATGCATCAAAAGCATCTTTGTGGTTCTTGCTTGTTTTCTTTTTCAATACAAACAGTAGTTAACATATTAAATGAAAAAGAAAAGGTAAGATTGGGCCAATATGCAGAATGTAATATTTAACTGAGTATATTTGCAGTGCAATTCATCAGCACGCTTCATTAGCATATCTGATTGCATGCAGGATTGAGTGTTCTTAGAGAGGGCAACCTCACCTCACCAGCCAATAACGATGAGGCCTAAAGATCAGGCAGCCAATAAGAGCACAGCGGGTGAGCGGCAGCTTCAGGGGTGCATGATAATGAGTTGCTTTATCAGTAATTCCAGAAGTCACGGGTAATTACCAGCTGAATCCACACCCTCAGCGGAGACGAACTCTGCTTCGCTGTGTTTGTTTTTTGAAACATCCTCCCAGTAAGCTGTAAATCATGATTATGCAGTTGCCGACAGAGTTAGATGGTGCATTTATGCTGTGGGACACTGGAAAGAAACCAACGATGAATATTGATATTCAGATGTTGCACAGGAGTCGAAGAAATCTGAAAGAACAAAAATGACAATACACTGAGGTTTTTGAAAGAAATCTCTTATGCTCACCAAGGCTGCATTTATTAAATAAAAAATACTGTAAAACAGTAGTATTGTGAATTATAATAGCAATTTAAACTAACTGTTTTCTATTTGAATATATTTTGAAATGTAATTTATTCCTGTGAGAGCAATACTGAATTTTCGGCAGCCATTACTTCAGACAAGTTTTCTTACCTATGCACCCAGAAAAGGCTCTCATGCAAAAAATACAAAAATAAATATACATACATACATACATATTTCATTATTTTATTATACTACTGTTTAAATTTGAATGTTTTTGAAAGAAGTCTTTTATGCTCATCATGGCTGCATTTATTTAAACATAAATATAGTAAAAAAGTAATAAATAAATAATCATGTAATAAAATAATTATTTTCAGGATACTTTGAATATAAAGCTGTTGTTGTTTTTTTAGATTATAATGTATTTACTGTTACATTTAACAAATTTTAATCCATCCTTGCAGAATAAAAGTATTGATTTAAAATAAATATATAAATAAATAACACTTTCCCTAAACTTTTGAATGATCCTGCATTTAAAATTGGCAAGAAAATTCTTGAAAATAGTGTTAAAAAAGCATTTCCTCTCAGATCATCTCAGCAGCACAGACCCTTGCTCTGCACCCCACCAGCAAGATTGCCAAAGAAAACCTGGCTGTGTTTTGCGAGGCCTGGGAGTCCCAGCTGTGCGACATGGCCATCCTGCTGAAGGAGATCAACGATGTGTTTGAGGGCCGCAGAGGTGCGTTAGTCGAGCTGTTCAGTCATGTTATCAATTTGTAGGCTGACTTTTAGGACTTCAAACTCAAACTACTTCCTTTTCCAGCCTAAGATATGAAACCACAATATTGTACTTACCACAATATTGTAATCTGGTTTCATGGGTGCTTGCTTTGAATGCATTAGTAGCAGTTATTTTCAGGTGAACAAAATGTATTTGTTCATGCCTATGGACAGGGCAGCGATAACGATTTTTTAAAGGTCTTTTTCCTCGTGGCCAGATTGCTATCTTTTCCAGCCGCTAAAGATGTGCGGCTTTGACATTTACACTGCATCCACATCCCTCACATGAGGTAATTGAATAGAGGCTGGATAAATCCCTGTAGGCAAGGTTAAGGGCGCATTGCAGCGGCCGCACTGAGATTACAGGTCTGTGAAAGTCCTTTCACTCATCTGTATTTGGACATTGCGCTCAAGGATGCGTTTGAGCGATGGCGGCTCATCCGAGTGAAACTCTGGTTTTCTCACGGCAGCGCAAAAAGAGCTTGTCAGAGTCTGAAGGAAGGCATCAGTAACATGACAGAAACCCGCTGCCTGGGGAGATGTTTTTGTTCCAGATGAGAGGCTCCCAGTCATCATCACAGCCAACCGAGATATTTCCCAAAACAAACTGTCATCCCCCAAGATCCTGCCTTTGTATCTGTTCATCCACAATCATTATACACAGCTATTTTCAGGCTAGACATTTATTTGAACCAAGTTTTATGTTTTATCGTGTCCTGTATATAGATGTATTTGGTTTTAAGATTTAAAATGTCTTCCTCATTTTAGGTGATAAGAAAACATATCTGTCTCTACCCAGACCAGGGGTAAGTCTCACAAGCAGTTATGATTTTATCACAAATTTCTCTTACCATATCATGTCCTTCATTATTTACTGATTCATCTATTTTATAGAAACTCTCTGCCAACCTGAAGACAGTCAAGGCTGCCAAACTTGACGCTGAGGTACAATTTCTCCTAATAAAACATAATGAACTAAAAAGTTGAAGTAATGATCATTTTTATCTGTCAGTTGGAAAAGACTGGGTTGAAAATTTTCCGTCATGCTCTATTCTTGACCTTATTTGTAATTTTTGTCCAGAAAATTATAGACTTTTGCCATTCCATCTCCAAATATAGATTACAATATTTGCATTTTCAGTCCACGACCCCCAAAACCTAATTTTCGAGATAAACTCTGTTATGACCTGAACTTCACAAAACATTACAATTGAACTTAATTAAGATTTAAATAACTAAAACGGACAACTGATAAGCCTAAGTGTGATGAAACTGATTTGTTTGTTTTTCTGTATTAATTCGGTGACAAAAATGTATCTGAAAGTCTAAACCTCAAATCATTACATCTATAACTTTTAGAATACTTTTAGTCTTAGCCAAATTATGTGTTATTTTACTATTATTTATATACTATAGCATTTATTAATATTTTAAATTAGCTTATGTTTTTATATTTTCAGTTGCCATTTTAATAGAAGTAGTAATATTTATGTGCTTTTGTAATATTTATTAGTTTAATAAAAACAAATAAAACTTTAAAAAATATTTCCGTTTACAGGATCTTAATTTATTTTATTTTATTTCAGTTTTAGTTTTAGAAATGTTTATACTGATACTTTATTTTAGTTTCTTGGCAAGGTTTAAAGTTTTAGTTTTTCATCTAATAATGATATTTTATTTAATTTCAGCTTTTTCCAAATACTGGAAACCATTTTAAATAGTTTAATCTCTTAGTGTGGGAATGTTTTTAAAGCTTGAAAATGCAATAAACCAGATATATAATTTTTTAGCACTTTAAAATTCTGTAAGCAATCGAAATAATTCTCAGTTACCGTAACTTCTGCTATATACATTTAAATAAAAAAAATCTGTAATTAGTCAGTATTTAGTTCTGCTTGAAAGTATCCTTGTGGCCATGATCTGAAGAGTCTTCTAATGTTGATCTATTCAGGAGCAAACCACCATTGCCAAGCTTGGGCTGGAACTGTGTCTCCTCACCTCAGATGTGGACTCCGAGGTGGAGCGCTGGGACGAGCAGGACCACGAGATGGTTCGGCTGTGTCAGATCATATCCAGCATGGCGTATTCCATGTACCTCTTCACCAGGTAACTCCCTGGAAACCTTTTCAGAAAATTCATAGTCCATTTATCAGATTGGTTCGAGTAGTGTTATATTACAAAGAAAATGAAATACAGCGTACTGCAAAGTTTAAGCTTTATGAAAAATGTCTGTTCAGAAGACAAAAGCATGTTGTTGTTGTTAATCTGCACTTTCTGTCAACCTACACAAACGGTTTTATGGATCTTCTAAGGATGTTTCATTAACTCTCTGCTGTTTTGCACTCTGTGATTAAGGGGGGAAGGCCTACTGAAGACAACTTTGGATCTATTCCAACAAGCTGAGGTACACCAGCGTTCAATCTCTCTCATAAGTTTTTTAATTGAATCTCTTCAAGGTGCCATTAAGAGCAATGAATCCCCTGGAAAAGATGGATCAATATATTATTAAAAAGGCCAGCTGTCATTTGTCTGTGAGATACAGTGATCCAGAGCAGGATGTGTGCTGTGAATGGGGAGGAAATGCTGATTAGGCAGTGTGTCATTCTATTAGTAGGGCACACTGGCCTCCACCCAAACACAACCTCTTATCTGACAGAGCAAGCTTAGCTGCTCAACATCAGCAGAACAGCACTGCGAAGTTCCTTTCATATGTCTATGTACCTCTTTTTATAGCCTTCGCTGCATTGATGTCATGTTTCAATTCCCATAATTATGAGTTTCCTACTAGTAAACAGTTCACGTCAAACACACAATTACAACTTGGAAACTCATAATTTGAAATAACAAAGTCTCCAAGTTATCTCACTTGATCGTTGTGACTTCAAGTAAAAATAACCAAAAGGCAGTGACCATATGTTACTTCATATGTTACAAATTTCAGTTTATGCCAGTGTTACCTGATTTGATTTCTTCAAGACTGCTAGAGCGTATAGAGGTGATTTAATATAGCGATTAAATATTTTTCCATGGTATTTTTTTTTTACATGGATCAATTTTGACATTATGAGCATTGCCAAAGTAACAAACAATTTCTGAGGTTTTGAACTCCTCTGGTAATCATAGCATGACACTAATCATTGGATTTGACTACTAAATGCCGCTTTTGTCATTTTCTTGAGACTTCAGTCCTCAATATCAGTGAGATGTTTAAATGATTTTTGTGAGTAGATTTCAAGTAGGAATTGGTATTGGATGCTTGAAATAGCTGCCTGGAAGTGTTGCAAATATAATACTGTAATAATCATTCTAATTCTATAAGAATAGGAACGTTCTATAACGCTAATAACACAGAGAAGCAATATCATTGGAATCACTTTCACATCAGTTTTCCAGCTGATGAATGATAAAAACATTGACAGCCAATCAGAAAGAGCTTGAGCATTTAAAGCGGCAGACAACAAAACTGCTGCACATAATAAACCGAACATTATTGTTCTTGGTGTGAACAGACCTGTATGTAGAATAAATTTTTTCTAGGCCACTGAAAGTGTGACCTGACCTGAGTCTTTATCTTGTGTCAGTGTACATTAGGGTGGCCATACGTCCACTTGTCTTAAACATGCCCTGTCTGGGATTTTAAACGGCCTAAAATGTCTGGGTATTGGCTTTGTTTTGCAATTTTGTTTTCCATATCATGTGAACTTGTATTTGCATTGCTTTTGACTGTTCTCTGTTGATCACACCTTCTCACACATCCTGATTGGTTGATTACATACAATAGATGCACACCATTGGTCAGACTACAAGTCTTATCCTTCAGCAAGTATGAAAACAAAGCCAAAACTCGTCTGTTTTAGGCAATTTAGAAATCCCAGCCAGGACATGTCCAGGAAAAACATATCTACATGTATATGTACGCTATTAATTTCTTTAGGTTTTTCTTACTTTAAAGGAACACTCTACTATTTTTGAAAATAGGCTCATTTTCCAACTCTCCTAGAGTTAAACAGTTGAGTTTTACTGTTTTCGAATCCATTCAGGCGATCTCCGGGTCTGGCGGTAGCACTTTTAGCTGTAGCTTAGCATAGATCATTGAATCTGATTAGACCGTTAGCATCTCGCTCAAAAATGACCAAAGAGTTTCTATATTTTTCCTATTTAAAACTTCTGTAGTTACGTCGTGTACTAAGACCGACGGAAAATGAAAAGTTGCGCTTTTCTAGGCCGATATGGCTAGGAACTATACTCTCATTCTGGCGTAATAATCAAGGAACTTTGCTGCCGTACCATGGGTGCAGCTGGCGCAATGATATTACACATCGCCTGAAAATGCTAATGGTCTAATCAGATTCAATGATCTATGCTAAGCTACAGCTAAAAGTGCTACCGCTAGACATGGAGATCGGCTGAATGGATTCAAAAACAGTAAAACTCAACTGTTTAACTCTAGGGGAGTTGGAAAATGAGCCTATTTTCAAAACTAGTGGAGTGTTCCTTTAATGTAAAAAAAATCTTGATGCACCTTCGTTCAAGTTGTGTAACATTTACTCTGATACAGAGTAAAGCCTTACATTATGGATTTATTTTCCAGGTGTTGTCAGACCAAGGTCTCCAGCTGTGCCACATCCTCCACTCTCTCTCCACACAGGTAACGCACCCGCGTGCCCACCAGACCCTTATGTACCACAGTTTCATTAGATGCCTGTAAATAAAGGACTGTAATGACTGCCATCCATCTCATTGGGACCACAGAGATGTGGCTATCAGTGTTAGTTAACCTTGCTCTGGCTGGGGCCAACAGGGGCCACTCATCCATAATCACAGAGCCTGACACTTGTGGTGCACTGCACGGTTTGATTAATAATCTCAAACATGTCTGACCCACAATGCATTTCCCCAGCTGCAAGCAGAGTATGGCTAATACAAATTGCTTACGTCCATTTATTTATCCATCAGTTCAAATTCAGCAATTACCTCACTTTGGCAAACCTGTAATGCAGTTTTGGGTGAAATTCTCAATTAGGGCTATTAGATTGTTAAATTTGTCCTTGCCGTAGGAAGTCCTGAAAGGAAAGCAATGCTATATGCATACAAAACAAAACGCCACTATATTTAAATGTACCCAACATGAATGTAAAATGTTACCAGAGAGAGAGAGAGAGAGCAGAGCCCCAAGAAGAGAGAGGCAGCAAAAGAAAGAGCAAAGGAAAAGAGGTAGCAAAGGAAAGAGAAGTAGTAAAGGAAAAGAGCCGGCCCATGGTAGCGGTGGGGTTATGGTATGGGCAGGCATATGTTATGGACAACGAACACAGGTACATTTTATTGATGGCATTTTGAATGTATGTGTATGTGAAACTGCACATTTTAGAGTGGCCTTTTATTGTGGCCAGCCTAAGGCACACCTGTGCAATAATCATGCTGTCTAATCAGCATCTTGATATGCTACACCTGTGAGGTGGATGGATTATCTCGGCAAAGGAGAAGTGCTCACTAACACAGATTTAGACAGATTTGTGAACAATATTTGAGAGAAATAGGCCTTTTGTGTACATAGAAAAAGTCTTAGATCTTTGAGTTCAGCTCATGAAAAATGGGGGCAAAAACAAAAGTGTTGCGTTTATAATTTTGTTCAGTGTATATATAAAATAACCATTTTCGGTTTAATATATATTGAAATGTAATTTATTCTTGTGATGGCAAATCTGAATTTTCAGCAGCATTAATCCAGTCTTTAGTGTCACATGATCCTTCAGAAATCATTCAAATATGCCGATTTAGTGCTCAAGAAACTTGTCTTATTATTATCAATGTTGAAAACAGCTTTTTCTCCTTATATTAAGAATGATTTAATATATAGATGTATAATGAAAAAGTAACTTCTAAAGCAAAATAAAGCCACTTCCACAAGTGTAGTCTATCAGCTTGTTTTTACTGAATTTACAAAATTGTCCCGTTCAGCCTGTCATGTTCATACTTTGCATATTTAAAGAACATCATAAAAAATTATGTCTAATGTAGAAACGGAGTCTTTAAGCAAAAGAGCTGCTGTGTTAAAGTTTGTTTAGATTCCTCATCTCTCAAATGTTCTACTTTAAATTTTAAGGCCACATATTGTGTCTGTGTTATAGCTGCTGGATGAAGACAGAATCCTTAATCTATCTGAGACAGAGAAGCTGTCAGCTGCATGTCAACAGCTGCAGGTCTGTGCCAAGACTCCAGTTCAGGGCAAAAGCGCCATCTTTCAGAAGGTAATCGAGTATAACTGATACAGACTGTTCTTGTACATAAGTGAATGGAGCAGACATGAGTAGGGTTTTTGTTTGTTTGACTTGACAGTTTAATCCATTAATGCACTTAAATTCATAATTTAGAATCTGAGGATTCAAATTATATCGATTCATCTTAATTTAGACATTTAAAGAGAACAATATAAACTAAAGTTTAAAGTCACAGGTCAATGCCACATGTGATTAGATAATAAATCTGTTTCTCCTGCAAAGACACTGACCTTACTCTATTTCCTGACTCCATTTAACCTGATAAAATGGCATGCTGTCCAGGGTCATCCTTCTGTTTTGATAAATCAAAGGTCACAGCCGAAGGCAGGTTTAAATAGGTTTATAGAGGCTGTGTTCGTGTCGTGCTGTGGAACCAAAAAAACGATCTCCGGAAAAACAAGCTCAATCAGGATCTCCCAGCATGTCTTCAGGAGCCCTTGCGTGGTTTCCAAGCATATTATTTCGCAAAAAACAATTATATGTGAACCAGTCTGTTCCACAAATCACCTTCAGAAATGTATAGATTGTTGTCGCTGCAAAATGATAGCTTGACTGAAATGTGGACATGGTGTACTTGTTAGCAAAACTGTATTTTGGGAGGTTTAGTCAGCTAATGATCCATCTATTTTTCTTGTCTCGTTCAGGTCGACTCATCCATACAGAATACCAAAGGCATCTTGACAGTGGTGGTCTATTTACTGCCCATCTGTAATAAGCTCATCAGAAAGGTAGGTAGCAACATGAACACCTGGAACTTTTTACTTTTATCCGTATTGGTTGATAATGTATATTTAATTGTGTTTGCTCATCATCTCTATATTTATATTTAGATTACATTCATGCCGTCATCTAACACTCACTTAATCTTAAAAAAAAAAAAAAAAAAAAAAAAAAAAAAAAGTTTTTTTATTTTTGCCATTTTTGCCTTTATTATGATAGGACAGATCAGAGCTGACAGGAAGTGAAGTGGGAGAGAGATAGGGGTGTGGGATCGGGAAAGGTCCTCGAGTCAGGATCCGAACTCGGATGGCAAATTTGATGACATTTTCAAATGTAAATTAGCAAATCTCAAAATGAATATAAATTTTTCATACTGTACATTATAATGGCTATCTGCCATGGAGACAATAATTATCAGCCTGAATTTTAATTTGGGTTAATAAACAAGTTAGGACAAAACTCAGATTTTCATGTAAGTTACTATAGTAACTTAGTTAAAAGCTAAAGTTAACTAAAACCATAAAAAACTAGTTTCTTGAAATAAAATTGAAAAAACATAAACTCGTTTTATTTCAGCTAGTTTTTGTTTAACTTGATATATTAAAATAACTACTGTAAATTTAAAACTGAAATAAAATTACCAAAAAGTATATAGTAGTGCTGTCAAACACTGTCAAAACTAAATAAAAGTTTTTGTTTGCATAATATGTGTGTATACTGTGTATATTTCTTATGTATATATAAATACAAACAAATGCGTGTATATATTTAAGAAAAATATGTTGTTTATATATTAAATATATTTATATATAATATAAAATATAAGAATATAAATGTATATACATGTAAATATTTTCAAAATATATACTGTATGTGTGTGTATTCATATATACAAAATAAATATGCACAGTACACATACATTGTTTTTTACATATTATGTAAACAACAATTTTTTTCTTTGGGATGCGATTAATCGTGATTAATCGTTTGACAGCACTAGTATATAGACATTAAAAAAAATAAGTACAAATACAAAAACACACAACAAAATTAAAATGACAACAGAAAATATTAAAATGAAAATATTAACAAAAAATTAAATAAAACAAAGTGAAATAAAAATAATAGTATCTCCATGCTGGTTAGGAAAGAGTGTTGTGCTATTATGTGATGGATGCGCTGATATTAAAATTCTAGCTGTGTTATTAAAGATGAGCTTTAAAGAGTGTTAGATTATAGCAACGATAATTAAAAACTGAGGAAATGTGCAAGCATAAACATTGAATATATTGAATGTGAATAATCAATTTAAAAAGCTCTAAATAAATTTGATATATTGTGCACCCTCACTTATTATTTAATGTTCTGGTGTGATTTATGTTCTGTTCTATCAGTTAAAAAAAATGCGTATAATCAAATCTTAGAGCATGTTTGTATTAAACTGTATCTTCTACCTTTAATTCCAGTGTAAATCAGAACGCAGCTGTCTGGCTTCACCTCAGCACTGGAGGGAGAAGCAGCTGAGCACGACCGTCAGTGAGGAAACTCTGAATGGCAAAGGCTCCAGTGGCTTTGGGGTCAAATCCCTGGAGCAGCACATGGCCAATCTAACATTCCTGGAGAGCAAATAGTTCTGAAAACCAATGGCGCTTCTGCCTGTTCTCACGCACACAGTGCATGGCAATGCACTCGCCCACAACGTGCCATTCTTTGTGCTTCTGCCCATTCGCTTTGTGGTGTATGATAGCGTTAGCATTACCAGCCTCATTCCAGATACCGAAAAATATTGAAGAAAAAAACCCTTCATTGCATGTGTTCAAGTGATTATGCGACCCTTTCAAGTGTAATGGCTGGTAAATAAGCTACAGTTTTAACTGAAAAAGTTAGGGCCATAAGCAGTTTTATAGTAACCAGAAGGGAAATAATGTGTCTGTGAGGACACAGACCTGTTACTTCTCAAATTAAACCAGTTCTTAATGAAACAATAAACTAAACACTAAACAATACCCATGGCACTGGCATTGTTATGCATCTCATGAATAGTGGTCCAACAAAATGCCAAGACTGCTCTGGATCCAGCAGACAAGTCTTCATTCCTTCAGATTTTATCAAGGTGTTTTTTGAAATGTAAGTGGCACACATTCATGATGCCACTGACGTTTCCACCTGCTTGAAGTAATTTTTCTTCAAAGCAGTCTCGGCAGTTTCAAGGCTCTTCTTGTTGGTTTCTTTTTGTCAGAACCTCCTCATATCGTTCTCTGGTCAGAAGGCCTTCAGTGACACTCTTACTCTCTTCAAATTTAGGTAATATAACGGCAATGTATCCCTCTGTGGAAGGCTGTGCCAAAAAAGAACACAATTCACACATGTGGTCTTAAATTTGTAAAAGGTTCAAGCTTTTCCATTGAATTTTTTTAAAGCAGTATTTGTGGTAACCTTTTCCAATAACAGATCTGGCCTGTTCAAAATGGCTTCATTCACTTCTAGGAGACGTCCTCTGATACAGCTGGGAAAATATGAGTTGAACTGACATCATTTTAAGATGATAGAAATTCAAGGTGAAGTTTATCAAGCGACAATCTGTCTAACTGACCTGAATATGGTGTATTCCTGTTCATCTGTACACGTTATTCTACACAGTGGTGCAAACTCTGTCAGGAACTGACCACCCTGCAGAATAAATGATATTTGCTGATAATGTTCAGAGAAAGTGTAAATTAAGATATAAAAGTAATGATCACAATCATTACAGTATTAAACTCATTAAGGACAAAGGTACTCACTCGCTTTGACTTTCCAGACACCTTGTTCTTCAGACGGCTGCATCCATCGCTGATCTGATAGTTTATGTTTTTGATTTTTCGTCCATTCTGAAGGATAGGATGAGACTCTGCAAGTGTGATGACGCATATCCTGATGAGAAGAAAACAGAGTTAGGTTTTCACAGCAAAGGAACGTTTAGAGGGGTGTTTCTCCAACTATGAACACTTATGACCCTGTGGACTTTCAGAAAATAAAGAAGAGTGGACATATGGACCTTCCCTGCATCATGAACCTTTCCAACATGCTGTGATTTCAATCTATATCTCGGAATATGTATTCAGTTGATTGTGTAGCAGCAAAGAATGTCAAACAATAAATATAAACAGTTGGTTCAGATCCATCGTGGTTTAAAATATGTAATATATTTATAGTATGAAAGTTTGGATCTGAGATTGATGTACAGATTAAAATCTATGCATAAAAAAACATCCGAATCTGAGGTGTATACAGTATTAAAAGTGTTCAAGAGAGTTATCATATTCATCAACAAAAAGAAAAAGAAACAAACGTTGCTATCCGCTAGTTTAAATACAAATAAACTTAGTAAAAGTGTACAGTACGTACTTGAAGAAACACTAAGAAAATTGCACAGTGAATAGAATATAATACATCTACCTGTTGGAGTGCTGTAGAATGCAGTGATCCTCACATGCTTTTCCTTTCAGATCTAACGTTACATAAGCATTTACACCAACACAACAATTAATCATCACATCCTTAAAAAGCATATATTAAAAAAACGCTTTGGACGCTGATTTGAACATACATTGAGCTACAGTGAAAACGACAAGAGCAGACGAAACAGAAATCAACATATTACCAGTTTTATACCAGCGGGTGAAATAACGATCGATTACTGATGGGGCTTTCTTTTCACTATCTTCCATGTCAGCATCCACCACAGCAATTCAATTAAAAAAGACAAAAATATTACAGAGGATGATACAGTCTGATCATATCTAAACAGTGATGTTTGAAGCCGGAAGACAAATCAAGTCACACAAAAAAATGTCCGCACTGAATTTACATCCGGTTATACTAATTGTATCCCTCTGCTGGTGTTTTGCATAACTGTGTCTTGCAAAATGTCTTTACCTGATAATAAATACGAACGAATTGTTATGCAATCCAATTCAGCTATATTTTTAGAGAAACGTATTTTAAATAACTCTGTCAGGAACTACTATAGAGGCATATTCTCCCGGTTCGTTTTAGTTGTAACACAGCAGCGGAGAAGATGGCAGCGCCTGTAATGGACACATGTCATGTCTCTTGTTGTGCTAATCGCACTCCTAATGTTGTGTCATGGGGCAGAGGGGGTCTCATTGCCTTTGGGACATGTAATTCAGTTGCTCTTTATAACCCACGGGTAGGTACAGTTTGTCGCTTGATTTAGTTGAGGTGATGCTCATGCTCTGTGGCTTAGTTACACTTACATGATACAGTTACACTTACATTATACAGTTACACATGTTCCGATTCTTTAATGCAGTGATGTGCAAACTGTAAACTCAAACCTATGTTTAGAGTATGCATTCTGATGAAGTCATTTCATAGTAAATGTCTATAGTGTTTGATAAACTGTCGAATAAGATGACTGTGAAATTGTGACAGGTTTGTCTCATCTAAATTTGGTTTATTAATTGTTATCAGGAAATAAGGATTGTTGAGGTGCTGAATAAACACACTGGAAGAGTGAATGCTGTCCAGTGGGTTCATCAACAAGACTGCAGTAAGCCTTTTACCGTCATTAATAAATGTCAAATAGGCTGTTTACAGATATTTCAGAAAAAGTGTGAAATCTTTTACTTCATGCATAGACATTATTCAGTTGTCTGTCACTGTCAGACACAATAAAAACAAAGGAACTTGTAGAAACGTAAGCTGTCTGTTTCTGCAGGTCCGGAAACCCAGCTGGTATCTGGTGGATCGGATAATAATGTTGTTGTCTGGGAGAAGCAGGATGGGAAGGTATGTGTGTACAATAACAATAAATATGGACACTTATGCTGACAACATAATTGGGTCTTTCTGTTATGCAATACATTGGATAAAATATTAAATAAATCAACAGCTATTAAAGATGGATTTGTTTTTATCATAAATATCAAGGTGATTTTTTTTTTTTTTAGTCAGGACTTTATATCACTTTCCACCCGAGTTTCAATATACCTTTACATCTTTTGGAATATCTTTTGAATAACAGCCAGTTGCGACAAATGCCTTATGTTAAGAAAACCCTTAGTGATAACACTCTTACAGTTATAACAAAATGCAGCTAATTGATTTCTTAACTTAATAGTCTTGTTTCAATTTGCCCAGATCACCAATTGCATAATCCTCCAGGAAATGTCATTATTTCTGGTGGGAAAACCACAGCACAAACAGTTTTAGGACTGGATTTGAAAAATCATCAGATTATTTTGTCACACTGTAAACCGTCCTGTTTACTAAAATGACAGAAATCAGCATGATAAAAGCCCAAAAGGAACTGCAGAACAGGAATGACCCAGCTTTGTCAGTTATGGAGTTCAAATTTGTGATCTTCTGTTATAATTGTCTGTAAATGGCTAATCACAAAAGTTAAAAATGAGTTGTGCTTGTCCATCTTCTGCTGCAGTTCACAGCATGTGCAGTGTGCTCGGGACACTCGGGGCCCGTGTGTGCAGTGGATGCCATGTCTCTGTCCTCCTCTCAGTTACTGGTGGCCTCAGCATCTTCTGACTCCACTGTTAAACTCTGGATGTGCAGCTCTGATACAGGTAAGATAGGGAGTGTGTTCATCATAAAAGTGCAGATTTAAAATACTCAGACATGAAAGCTTTTAAAGATTTTTGTTTAAATAAGGACTTTTCAAGTTCTACAAGCCTGACATCTGCTGGTTGGTTCTTGTAAATGAATAGTAGTGCTTAAAATGAGGAATGACCCAGCTTTGTCAGTTATGGAGTTCAAATTTGTGATCTTCTGTTATAATTGTCTGTAAATGGCTAATCACAAAAGTTAAAAATGAGTTGTGCTTGTCCATCTTCTGCTGCAGTTCACAGCATGTGCAGTGTGCTCGGGACACTCGGGGCCCGTGTGTGCAGTGGATGCCATGTCTCTGTCCTCCTCTCAGTTACTGGTGGCCTCAGCATCTTCTGACTCCACTGTTAAACTCTGGACGTGCAGCTCTGATACAGGTAAGATAGGGAGTGTGTTCATCATAAAAGTGCAGATTTAAAATACTCAGACATGCAAGCTTTTAAAGATTTTTGTTTAAATAAGGACTTTTCAAGTTCTACAAGCCTGACATCTGCTGGTTGGTTCTTGTAAATGAATAGTAGTGCTTAAAATTGTCACACAATGATGAGTTGCATCATTCCTCTAACATTAAAGTGACGGTAGTCTAATGAGCTGTCTGCCAGCATGCAGAAACCAGCTTCTTTTGAGTGCATTTATTTTTTAAATTAGCACAGGAGATGATTTCTAGTTTTCAGGGTAGTTGTTCTAATATCGATATATATTTTGGATTAATAATAGTCTAATTTAAAAGAATAAGTTGTTATTTTTTTTAATAAGAATTCATCATGAGTTGGACAGGTTCATTTTCATGTGAGGTGTTTCTGCTCTCTTCATTAGTTGAATGCCTCCAGACCGTATCTTTTGGGAGCGGGTTCATGATGGATGTCTCCTTGGCGCTGTTGCCAGGCAGCAGAGGTAAGCTGCGCCTGCTGCTCCATGTTGATTTGCTGTATTGTCCAGCCCTATCATGTTAAAATCTCATTCTGTGCTTTAAATATGTCCTGGGGCGACGTTAGCCTGCCTCTTACATTATTCACGTCTGGACTGCAGCTGTATTTTGCTTCTAGATGCCGTGAATAGACTTAGTGACTTGTCTGCCTGGTGTGTTGGTGTGAATGAGGAGGATAATTACATCTCTTGCAGTTCCAGTACTGGCCTGTGGGGGAGATGCCAGCAGAGTTCACCTGTATGTGCAGCTCAATGGCCAGGTAAGACTGTCAGGTGACTTTGCTTTATATTAATGCTCTTCATATTTTGTGTATCATGTGGGTGTGTTTAGTTTCAGAGGCTTCTGACTCTGACAGGACATGAGGATTGGGTCCGATGTGTGGAGTGGGCCACTAAAGGTAAGAATAAATGTGCTTAAGAAGCATTATATTTAGAGGAAGTAAAATGAAGCGTGTTTTAGGACACCATGAAAACTAAATTTGACCTTTGTAGCCTTCAGTCCTTATTGTAATCTATTCCAAATGTTGGTGTCAAAGGATTTTTTTAAAAAGAAATTAATATTTTAAATGCATTTAATTGATTGAAAATATCAGTAGCAAAATGTATAATGTTACACAAATTTCTATCTGAAATAAATTCTGTTATTTTGAATTTTCTATTAATTGAAGAATCCTGAAAAAATAAAACATGGTTTCCACAAAAATATTAAGCAGCACAACTTTTGAAATGTGAAAATTCAGCTTTGTTACCACAGGAATAAATAAATTGTAATAATTAGCAATATTACTGTTTTTACTGTATTTGTATTTAAATAAATTCAGCCTTGGTAAACGTAAGAGACTTTTTAATAAATTGGCAGATAAACACACACACACACACACACACATATACTGTATATATATATGTTTTCATGAATTTTGGCATAAGAGTTGAAGTCAAATACCCATTTAATACATAAGATACAGTACTGGCAGTGAAATAGTCCAGGGATATAAAATGCACCATCTTAAAGAGCCAGTATTGTTGTTTTCACTCTCACGTTCTTTTATAATGCATGAAACAGGCACGTGCTGCCAACTAAAGGCACTGTAACTGAAATATACAATACACATACTACTTATTTTTGACTGCTTGTTGGATGTGTAGATGGAGAGCTCTGGCTAGCCAGCTGTTCTCAAGACTGTCTGATCAGAGTGTGGAGACTGTTTGCCAAGACTGCCACTGAACCAGACCAGCAGGCTGACGCTGTTATCAAGATGAAGGAGAATGTTTTTCAAGTGTCTGGAGATGGTGAGGCTGGAGGTTTTGCGTGATTGGAATTAAGTTGTGTGATGACTTGTATAAATTGGTTATTGTTGAGTTGATTAGCTTCTTGATTATCTGTTTAGAAACCATGTCTTGGCCTATAGAAACACAAAATAAAGGATTACATATATAGTGTTTTATAATCAGAGTCCAAAAATGAACTTCCAGCATCCAAATGCAAGTAAAATGGACTTTGTCTAGTAAAGACCTAAAGTAATGAAAAATGTGTGAGGATAATGATATACTCCTCATTGCTTATTTCTTTCTGCTCTAGAGTTTGCTGTGACTCTTGAAACAGTGCTGGCTGGCCATGAAAACTGGGTTTATGGAATTCACTGGCAGCCTCCATGTGTCAAAGGTATTCCTGCATGCTTTCATTTAGTGATTAGTGAGCATGAGCTGATTTCGTTTCTTTAGTTTCTTTATATCATTGCAATGTGCTGTGAAATTATTTTCATTTTGATATACTGTATAATTTATATTGTTTTTATTATTTTATTTGTATTTATCCAGTCTCCCTCTGTTTTGTAACTTGATGTCTCCCCCTGCAGGTGACTCAGTGGAACAGCCCCTGAAGCTGCTCTCTGCCTCAATGGACAAGACCATGATCTTATGGGGGCCAGAGGAGGATTCAGGCATGTGGGTTGAGCTGGTAAAGTCACCTTGTTTGCTACTTAATAAATACTGATATTGGAAAAATTTAAAAGGTGGATTAGAATGCAGTAAAATGCATGCAAATTTCCAGAAGACTTAAGAAATCTAGCTTCAGTTCTAGCCTTTCAGAGTTTTTAAAGAAAGGGTGGGAAATTATGGGACGGAGAGAGAAGAAATTAGATTTGGACAACTCCAGAGTTGAACTCTGATGTGTCACACACATTGTGCTACCACTGTGCTATGACTCGGATTTCAAAATTTTTTTAATAAAAAAATAATAATTGATCAATTTCATTCATAAA